TGTGTGTATATATGTGTGAAAGAAAATAAATTAATTTATTATGAAAGTAAACTCTACTAAATAATTAATTTGTTAAACCAAAAACATTTTACTGATAATGAAATATTTATGATTTACTATAAACAAATATTCTTATATAAATGTAATTTCATAAATTCTTTGTTATAAAAATAACAACAGTAAACAACTTTTAAAGGTTTTCAAATGAAATAAATTAGTAAGATCAAGTTGTGAAAAGCTTTTAAACATTTGTTAATAATAATACTTGTTAGTTTACTAAGTTCTTTTATTTTGTTTATAGCCACTGATATATTTTAGTAAAAGTCCTGTCATATTAGAAATTTCAATTCTATTCTTTATTAAATAATTTTAAGTTTTTTTAAATAGAATGGAAATTACAAATAGAGAAAGTAAAGATCCATTATCTTTATATTGTTGGATAATTAATTAATTATATATTAATTACATGCACACTTTCTTGAATATTTATATGTTTGTTAGAGAAATATTTTCTTTTTGTTTCACTAATCTATAAATTTTATTGTAAATCAAAGTAGTTACATTAACTTATAAGAATAATGTACAGACTTCATCAATAGTTTTAATTAAAAAGTTCTGTAATCATTTCTACAAAAAATTATTTTCAGGAATATTGATTTCACCATTAGTTTTTTTAATCACTTGAAGCAATTAGAAAAACAAAATACTTTGTAAAAATACTGTTTCATTTGCATAGTTATCAGTTATTCAATTTAAAGTAATTACCATTTACTTTATTTGGAAGTTAACTAGTTTTGGTGATATAGCACTCTTCAAAAAAAATACAAAATAGTTACAGATTTGTACATCTTGATAAATGTTGGATGTTTTTTCAATGCTTATTACATTTGATTCAAAAGTTCATTTAGTGTTTCAAATGAATACTTGGAGATTTTCCAATAGCCTTTAATATACTACTAACCATATTTCTTCCCATTACTGACAGCTGAAAATTGGTGGACCATATACTTATTGCTCTCAAATGTCATATAGCTATGTGAAGGAGCAAGTTTTTTTTTACTATAAATTTATTATATATAATTCATACTTATTTTACTTACTTCTTTATTTTTTAAATCTCTGTTCTTATTTATTTTATTTTAAATTACATTTCTAATTATTTATTAATGAAATTTATGTAAATAATTAAATTTTTTTAAAATTAATTATGTCATGTTCTTTAACTTTTTATAAACACACAAGTGTTTTTAGATATCTTAAATTTATTGTATATTATATATACAGTAAGACCCCGCTTAATGCGGGGGATGCATTCCTAGACGACAAAGCACTAAGAGAAACAGCATTAAATGAGACCATTTTTACATAGAGTGAATAGGGATAGTGGAACACGCAACCAAAAATTAAGCATATTTTACTATAATTTTAAATTATTTTTATATAAATTTTTGCATATTAATATATGTTAAATAACACATAAACATATGTGCACAGAAATGTAAAGTTAATTTTTTGTGACAAAGGTCCTGGCTCTTCTGAAATTCTTGTTTTTTGTGATGAAGTCGTGTAGTTTCATTGGTCCCTTTCTTTTCTTTCCTTAAGCAAATGTCGATAGCAGAAGATTGCAATCTTGCAAGATGCTTCTTACAAGATTGCATCTTGCAAGAAGAAGCAAGATGAGGCGTTTTAATCAACCTAAAATGCCTCATCTTGCTTTGGCACTCCTATCAAAAATCTGGATCATTCGCTACAATTTGATCAACGATTTCAGTTATCATTAGCAAACTTTTACTAAGGAAAACTGTAGAGAAATTTTTTGGGTTCTTTGTCTTCAGAATCTCTATTTTCCAGTTCTACATGAATTCCTTGTTCTGCCAGTTCATGAAGGTCGTTGTTGGTAAGGCTCTTACCAGAAACCTGCAGTAACCCCAATACCCTGCTGATCTACATCTCCTGTATTGATTAAGTTTACAATTTTGTCAACCTAACGATACAGCAATAGGCTATTCTCAATGAGAATTCTTGGATACTCTCAGCTATAACTACTTCCACACTCTGTTCATGCATTTGTCAATTAATTCTTGCCAAGCGAAGTCGATATTTTCTATGGCATCCATGATGTTATATTTTTTCCAAAAATCCAAAACAAACATAGATTTAAGGGAAGTATGGCACTATGATAAATTGCCATCTTTTGCTAATTGGTTTGTGTTTGGGAATAATTGTATTATATATGAATCAATGAAATACCGCATTAATTTGAATCAGCGTAAAGTTTGAGCGTTTTTTAGGCGTCAAGCAGACCGCGTTATATTGAATCAGCGTTAAGCGGAGTCTTACTGTAGTCAAAACCACACTCAGCAGAAAGAATAATTACTAAAATCATCACTAAACATCTTTGGCTACTGAGACACATGTTTTTGCTTATACACTAATGTTCTCAGCCTAATTTATAGGTCATCTTCAGGTGATATATTTTTGGAACATCAGCTTCAGGATTACAAACTGTTTCAAAATAGAATACAATAAATATCCCATCAGCATGGAAGTTCATTGTAAAAAAAACTTCTTTATTGAAATTTCTGGCTACCTCATCTACTAAGATATATTTTTATATTTAAATTTGCAACTCTAGTTTCATTTTTATTTTATTTTATTTTACCTTTATTTTAGAATTTAATTCTTATGTTACTTTTATGTTGGAATTATTTGAAATAGATGTTACATTTATATTCAAATATTTAAAAGTTGATGTTATAATATTCTATATTTATTATACTCAATTTTGGAACGGTTTGTAATTGATATTCCAAAAATATGTCACCTGAGGATGGCATATAGATTAGGCTGAAAATATTAGTATATAAGCAAATACATGTCTCAGCAGTTAAAGATGTTTAGTGATGATTTTAGTATATTATATACAGTACTTTTTCAAGAATCATTAAACATTCATAAGCTTATGTATTTTATACATTACAATGTCAGAAATATTATATTCTAAGTTAATATAATTTCATTCATTTGTGGATGATTATATGAAGGTTTTTGAAGACTTTTTTCTCTATGATCTTAAGTATTTTAATTCATTGTAGAATTGTCTGAATTTAATACATATTAAACAATGAAATATAAAATGTTTTAAATAAAATATTAATTAGGAAATTTTTAAATATAAAAATAATTACCATCTATTAAATAGCTAAAATCAATCATAAGAATCATGTCTTCATGATTGATTTATGATAATCCACAAAAAATATTTTTATGCCCTTGTAAGATATTTTTTTTTACTTTAATTTTATCAGAAATATTCATTATATAATAAAACTAAAATTTCTTATTGACAATTTTATTTTAATGTTTTTCTGTTTGAAATAAACCATTTATTAGTAATAAAAAAATGCTTAGTGGCATCTTTAGATATAACCCCAAAAAGAATTATTTATATAACTATTCCAACTTTCTATTAATATTAAAAAATAGCTTATTGTGTACAATCAGGAAATTATTAAATAAGTTTGAATTTGAGATAGGCAAATACTAGAATCCTTGAATACTCTCTAGTATTCAAGATCTCGAATATAACGTCAATAAAAAAGAAATTTGAATACTAAATCTACCTCCAATATTATGCCACATGTACAGACAGCACTCATCAGTACCTCTGTTTTACCATAATTTGCAACAAGAAAAGAAGTAGACTGAATGTGTTTGAATGCTTGTTTTCTTAAAAATATTCAGTATATGAGTCTGAGAACAATTGTTGATAAATTTATTGTATTTGAGATAAGGCATAAAAAAACGACTGTAAAACTCAAGTTAAAATAAAAAGTTTGAAGATTCATTTCTTAGAATTTAGTGAATTGTTTTTCTTTTTACTTTACTAAATTATTTTATATATTGAAACAAATGAAATAAGTTAAATAATGAATATTAAATGGATTTCTTAATTATCTTATATAACTTATTTAATTAAGTTCATTAAGTGTTCAGGTATTCAAATATTTGAAATTGAGAAAAGTGTTTTTCATTCATCTTTAGTTTAATTGTGTACAATATGTATAGTTTTTAATTTCAGAAACAAATTTAAATGATAAAATTTTGTTTTTTGATAATATTTTTTTTTCAGAATATATACAAAGTAAATTTTTGAAAGTATCTTTCTTTATAAAATGTAATGTACAAAAACCATTTCAAAATTTTTAAAACAAATTATATATTTTAAATATAACTATTAATCAAAATAATCAGTTTATTAAAATGAATCAATACTTTGTAACTTGAATATTAAGACTAATTAATTTAGTTTTAAGTTAATCATATGAAATTGTTTTTGTACACTGCTTTTGATAAAGAAAACATATTTTTCAAAAATGAATAGTTTGCTATATCTTTGTGAAATATCCATATTTCTATAAATTATTGAAATTAATTTTTTTACAAAGTAATTATTTATATATCTATTAATTTAGAATCATAATTCATTTGTTTCAATTTACTTTTAAATTACTGTAGTTGTTAGTGATCAATATGTATATATTATTTAAATGGTTTATTTTGTAAACATCATAAAATTAAGCATAAAGAATATATTTTATTTAAAAGTCTTTGAATAAAATGGACACAGTGGTATAATAAAGAAAGAAAATTTAATTATGAAAATTGATTATAGTTTAAATTAGTTTACATACAGTATATTTAATATGACAAGGTTGTAATATTAGATGTATATAAACTATTTTAAAGTATTTATTAACCACCCTGTAATTATAAGGCAACTTGATTATTTGTCTTATTCCTTCTATTTTTATTATAATATTTAAAATTTGACAGTTTTTTTATACTCACTGAATTTAGAACTGATTTAATATTATTTAAAGACATATTATTTATGACTAAGTTATTTTATAGATGAAAGTTTTTCAATTTTTAATTTGTTATAAGATCATATTGTTTATATTTTAAATGAATAATTAAATTTTTAAAATTTTGTTTAGAGAGATTTAACACGTCATCTGGATAAAATAAGTAAAGACTTAGAAAAAATCTGTAAAAATATACTTTGGTCAACGTTATCAAGTGAAAACTATTCTAAAAATGAAATTAAATATTTATTTGAAAGTTGGAATGCCTATCATCATTTATGTTTCAAACTCCCTCCATCTAGGACTAATGAAGAAATAAAAGTTTTTCAAAACAAAATAGATGCACTTTGGAAAATCATTAATTGCTTAAATAAATTGTTGATTCCAAATATTATCTCTCCTACCATTTATGAAGGTAAGAAATAGATAATAGATAAATTTTTAATATTATTATTTCATTAAATAATTTCAGTATAGATATTAGCTTAGAATGTGATTTAAATCAGAAAATGATTATTATAATGTTTTTATAATTATATTTCTTACAGTAATACAGTACAGCTATAATTTTAAGGTCCAGTATAGAATATTTTCAGATTATGACAATCTAAGAAAATCATAATTTTTATATTCCAAGCTGTTATAGAATATAATGAATGGAAAGAAAGTATGATGATTGGCCAAATTATGACTACTACAGATTTTTGATTTCTTGATGTTTTGACATGCAAGAAACTTGAAAATGTGAAAACACTTAAAAATTTTGTATATGTATATCAGCATCTATTTTGCATTGTATCTCAGGACTGGACGAACTAAAAATTTTGAAATTTTGCAGAGTTATTTCTATATACATAGAGCTGTTAAATTTTGATGGTTAAAGGTCAAGGGAATGGAGAAATAGAGGGGTTCATGTCTCAAGTAGGGTCAAGCTTAATGAAAATTTTAGTTGTTATTGGCTTTTGCAATTTTTTTTTAAACTTGTTTCCACCCCAAAATTTTGCCTTTTTATAATAATTAATAATATAAAACTTATTTTTTAGCAACATTTCACAACAGATGGTATCACACACAATTTTAACTTTGTTAAAATTGGCATTATTATTATATATGGCATTATTATTTAAGATTATATTTGTTTAAACATTTTTATGAAATGTTGAACCACCAGTCTGTATTCTGTTATTTCATTTCCTTTTGTTTTGAATGGGTCTCATTTGTTGTTACTTGTCTTCTATCATTATATAACATGATCTGAGTAAAGTGAAATTTTTAAGCAAAATATCAGCTAAATTCTAAATCATAAGTAATGCTGTAACTTGTGGGCTCACCATGGTTAACTTCTTGTTTACTGTGGTAATGTCTATAATCTATTTATTTGTTAAGGTTATATCTTCATTGTCTGGAAAGTAGTACTGACAATGCAAAACTGTTGTTTCTCCCACTGTTTTGTTTTGGCTCCTACAAGCACTGAGCTTCTTCCACGTCTATTTAGATTTGGCCATGCCTGCAATAGGCAAGGTACATATCAATCTTGAAAAATTTCTGGGGTTCCCAATCCACAGACTTGAATCTAAATCACTCTGAGTGATATCACCTTTACCCCCTTAGCCATCCAGCCATCTTTCCAACTCTCTGGAAGAATTAACTTATTCCACAGTAGTAACAATGTTTAATTTATTTTTTGGAAAAAATATTGCATGGGCTAAAGTTGAATTAATTTGTATTTTCATTTTTTGTAAAGTAATCAAATGATTATGATGTAAAATTTTAGGATGAAATGTCTTCACTCTCTCCATAATAATTAATCAGACAAAAGCAACTAGTGTCACCTGACAAAATTATTTGAACTAGCTGAAATTCAATACTGTATTACAGATACGAAGACTAATAAAATTAATTTCTAGGAATAATTATTATTACAGACGATATACATATATATAAAATCTCTAAGTCTGATAGTTATAGTAAAGCCAAATTATTGGGGATTAAATAGGGCTAGATTACCACTACTATTAACAATTAAATACTGAGTAATTTGGCTTAGAGGTAAGCATTGGGCATCATCTCTTATTAAATTTAATAATAATTAAATTAATATTTATTAAATAATTTAGAAAATTCTGGAAGAAAAGAATCAACCCAGAACAGGACTCAAATCTCTCAATTGCTGCTTACAATGTGGATGTGTTTCCAGTTTTACTACCCAGACCTCCATTTGATCTCTTGCTTCCAGACATATATTTAGATATAACAATGCTACAATATTCTGGATCTTATTTCTTAACAACTTTGAATTGAAGCGCATTCCGTTAGAGGATCGTGTTACCCGAAGAAGAACTTTAACGGTTTGAAAATGTTTGTAACTTTGTTGTATAGTGTGATGAAATGCACACCAGTAAAAGGCTTATAGATATGTGCATTTTTTATAACAATGTTAGTTACTCACAATAGTGACTGGCGGACAACTCAGCACCCAAGACCTATAACCACCCACTATGTTACCCAAGCCTATATAACCACCCAGCCTGCTATTGCTTTACCCCAGCATGGTATATATATATATGCATATAAACATCTCTAAATTAAATATGTCTGGAAGCAAAGGACACTATCTAATGGTAGCAGCCGGGAGGGGAACTCAAACTTACAATTCCTGTTGCCATGCAGATGCATTGCCATGATGATAAATAGGAGTTATGAATTTGAATCTCATAATGGGGCAATTTTTTCTTTCAAAATATTCTAAATTTAAATTAAAAATTAAATTTATCATTAGATTGTGACCTAATAGACTATCTATAGCTAAATGACTATTTTTAATCATTAGATTAATTTTGTTACATCCCAATATATAATCCTGCAGTTCATTTGGCATATCTATAGAATTAAATTGATTCTTATGTTGTTATATATATATATTTTCCAACTTTTCTCTCTTTGTGCATTAATAAAAATCATAACCCTCTATAAAATGGAAATCTGTCAAAACAGAAAATTGTGTCCAGTACTATTGCATTTAATTTGGACAAGTTTTATCACTTAAATATCTGTAAATACTCAACAAAATAATCTCCTTAAACAATTGGGCTATAAATCAGCTATTATTAATGATTAGATACTAGGTAATTAATAATAGTGGATTTATAGCTTGATTATTTAAGGCAATTTTTGGTTGAGTATCTATATATTGGGTTTTGGGATGTTTTGTATACTTATATCTGTAAATATATAAAAGTAATAGAAATAACTGTCTTATATTGAAATCTAAGTAAATTTATTTTAGTACTATTTTAATTAAATTACAATTGTTTCTCATGTAATGTGATATGTGTTATTAAAAAACCACCATATTATGAAGTTTTTCACAATAAAAATAATGGCTTATGGAAAAAATTGAGTTATTCTCAAATCTTGTATCGTCTTGTAAAATATACGAGGCGTGTCCGGGAAGTAAGTACTGTTTCGTTCTACCGCTATTGCAGTGGTAGTATTGCAGTTCAGCGCCTGCACACACATCTCTCTGGTTGATTGTCAGTCCAGTGATGCCATTACAGCTGGATTGTGTTGTTTTTCCATGTGTTAGTGAGTGTTCAAAATGTTTAAGACTATTGCTGATCCCACTGACTGTGAAGTGCATTCTGTAATATGGTTTTTGAACGCAAAGAATGTTAAGTCAGTTGAAATTCATCGTCAACTTGTAGAGATTTATGATGAAAATGTAATGAGTGATGGAATGGTTAGAAAATGGGTTCGACAATTCAATGCTGAACGCACTGATGTTCATGACGAAGCATGGAGTGGCTGGCCTTCTGTTGTCAATGATGGTTTGATTGCAAAAGTGAATGAAAAAATTCCTAAAAACAGACAGTTCACAATAAGATTGCNCAAAAATTAAGCATATTTTACTATAATTTTAAATTATTTTTATATAAATTTTTGCATATTAATATATGTTAAATAACACATAAACATATGTGCACAGAAATGTAAAGTTAATTTTTTGTGACAAAGGTCCTGGCTCTTCTGAAATTCTTGTTTTTTGTGATGAAGTCGTGTAGTTTCATTGGTCCCTTTCTTTTCTTTCCTTAAGCAAATGTCGATAGCAGAAGATTGCAATCTTGCAAGATGCTTCTTACAAGATTGCATCTTGCAAGAAGAAGCAAGATGAGGCGTTTTAATCAACCTAAAATGCCTCATCTTGCTTTGGCACTCCTATCAAAAATCTGGATCATTCGCTACAATTTGATCAACGATTTCAGTTATCATTAGCAAACTTTTACTAAGGAAAACTGTAGAGAAATTTTTTGGGTTCTTTGTCTTCAGAATCTCTATTTTCCAGTTCTACATGAATTCCTTGTTCTGCCAGTTCATGAAGGTCGTTGTTGGTAAGGCTCTTACCAGAAACCTGCAGTAACCCCAATACCCTGCTGATCTACATCTCCTGTATTGATTAAGTTTACAATTTTGTCAACCTAACGATACAGCAATAGGCTATTCTCAATGAGAATTCTTGGATACTCTCAGCTATAACTACTTCCACACTCTGTTCATGCATTTGTCAATTAATTCTTGCCAAGCGAAGTCGATATTTTCTATGGCATCCATGATGTTATATTTTTTCCAAAAATCCAAAACAAACATAGATTTAAGGGAAGTATGGCACTATGATAAATTGCCATCTTTTGCTGATTGGTTTGTGTTTGGGAATAATTGTATTATATATGAATCAATGAAATACCGCATTAATTTGAATCAGCGTAAAGTTTGAGCGTTTTTTAGGCGTCAAGCAGACCGCGTTATATTGAATCAGCGTTAAGCGGAGTCTTACTGTAGTCAAAACCACACTCAGCAGAAAGAATAATTACTAAAATCATCACTAAACATCTTTGGCTACTGAGACACATGTTTTTGCTTATACACTAATGTTCTCAGCCTAATTTATAGGTCATCTTCAGGTGATATATTTTTGGAACATCAGCTTCAGGATTACAAACTGTTTCAAAATAGAATACAATAAATATCCCATCAGCATGGAAGTTCATTGTAAAAAAAACTTCTTTATTGAAATTTCTGGCTACCTCATCTACTAAGATATATTTTTATATTTAAATTTGCAACTCTAGTTTCATTTTTATTTTATTTTATTTTACCTTTATTTTAGAATTTAATTCTTATGTTACTTTTATGTTGGAATTATTTGAAATAGATGTTACATTTATATTCAAATATTTAAAAGTTGATGTTATAATATTCTATATTTATTATACTCAATTTTGGAACGGTTTGTAATTGATATTCCAAAAATATGTCACCTGAGGATGGCATATAGATTAGGCTGAAAATATTAGTATATAAGCAAATACATGTCTCAGCAGTTAAAGATGTTTAGTGATGATTTTAGTATATTATATACAGTACTTTTTCAAGAATCATTAAACATTCATAAGCTTATGTATTTTATACATTACAATGTCAGAAATATTATATTCTAAGTTAATATAATTTCATTCATTTGTGGATGATTATATGAAGGTTTTTGAAGACTTTTTTCTCTATGATCTTAAGTATTTTAATTCATTGTAGAATTGTCTGAATTTAATACATATTAAACAATGAAATATAAAATGTTTTAAATAAAATATTAATTAGGAAATTTTTAAATATAAAAATAATTACCATCTATTAAATAGCTAAAATCAATCATAAGAATCATGTCTTCATGATTGATTTATGATAATCCACAAAAAATATTTTTATGCCCTTGTAAGATATTTTTTTTTACTTTAATTTTATCAGAAATATTCATTATATAATAAAACTAAAATTTCTTATTGACAATTTTATTTTAATGTTTTTCTGTTTGAAATAAACCATTTATTAGTAATAAAAAAATGCTTAGTGGCATCTTTAGATATAACCCCAAAAAGAATTATTTATATAACTATTCCAACTTTCTATTAATATTAAAAAATAGCTTATTGTGTACAATCAGGAAATTATTAAATAAGTTTGAATTTGAGATAGGCAAATACTAGAATCCTTGAATACTCTCTAGTATTCAAGATCTCGAATATAACGTCAATAAAAAAGAAATTTGAATACTAAATCTACCTCCAATATTATGCCACATGTACAGACAGCACTCATCAGTACCTCTGTTTTACCATAATTTGCAACAAGAAAAGAAGTAGACTGAATGTGTTTGAATGCTTGTTTTCTTAAAAATATTCAGTATATGAGTCTGAGAACAATTGTTGATAAATTTATTGTATTTGAGATAAGGCATAAAAAAACGACTGTAAAACTCAAGTTAAAATAAAAAGTTTGAAGATTCATTTCTTAGAATTTAGTGAATTGTTTTTCTTTTTACTTTACTAAATTATTTTATATATTGAAACAAATGAAATAAGTTAAATAATGAATATTAAATGGATTTCTTAATTATCTTATATAACTTATTTAATTAAGTTCATTAAGTGTTCAGGTATTCAAATATTTGAAATTGAGAAAAGTGTTTTTCATTCATCTTTAGTTTAATTGTGTACAATATGTATAGTTTTTAATTTCAGAAACAAATTTAAATGATAAAATTTTGTTTTTTGATAATATTTTTTTTTCAGAATATATACAAAGTAAATTTTTGAAAGTATCTTTCTTTATAAAATGTAATGTACAAAAACCATTTCAAAATTTTTTAAACAAATTATATATTNCTTAATTAATTGGTTATTTTTATATTTATACAGGATGGTGTTTAAAAAACAAATATTTAGCATTTATATGATAGAAAGTATACATCATACTGAGAAGGGACTACCAGAGATAGTCTCTTGGAGCCAACTTTGGTAAATGAAGACATAGCACAGTAAACAATGTAGAAAACAGCCTTATCAAAATTAAATAATGTAAAAAGATTATCATTATCATTTCATTGATATTTTAAAATAATAATAATAAAAAAAGTAATATATTAAAATATTTTTATAATACTTTAAAATACAATTTTAAATCATGTTATTGCAGAAGAAAATTTTATAATAAAAAAGAAGTTTATAATTAATCTTATTGCAAAATTAGATATAGGATGAATTAGAGTACTTACATATTAAATCAAGATGGATGTTACATCTATACAAATATAAAAACTTAGAAGTGATATATTTTTCTGTAGAAATGATAAGAAAATATCCAGAAATATGGAAGTACTATTTCATAATAATAAAAAATTTTGAAAAAAGTTTGAGACAACAATAATAAATGAAAGCTTATTTATAACTCTACATATGGACTTGCTTTATACATTATTATTTAAGATTATATTTGTTTAAATATTTTTATGAAATGTTGAACCACCAGTCTGTATTCTGTTATTTCATTTCCTTTTGTTTTGAATGGGTCTCATTTGTTGTTACTTGTCTTCTGTTATTATATAACATGATCTGAGTAAAGTGAAATTTTTAAGCAAAATATCAGCTAAATTCTAAATCATAAGTAATGCTGTAACTTGTGGGCTCACCATGGTTAACTTCTTGTTTACTGTGGTAATGTCTATAATCTATTTATTTGTTAAGGTTATATCTTCATTGTCTGGAAAGTAGTACAAGACATATTATTTATGACTAAGTTATTTTATAGATGAAAGTTTTTCAATTTTTAATTTGTTATAAGATCATATTGTTTATATTTTAAATGAATAATTAAATTTTTAAAATTTTGTTTAGAGAGATTTAACACGTCATCTGGATAAAATAAGTAAAGACTTAGAAAAAATCTGTAAAAATATACTTTGGTCAACGTTATCAAGTGAAAACTATTCTAAAAATGAAATTAAATATTTATTTGAAAGTTGGAATGCCTATCATCATTTATGTTTCAAACTCCCTCCATCTAGGACTAATGAAGAAATAAAAGTTTTTCAAAACAAAATAGATGCACTTTGGAAAATCATTAATTGCTTAAATAAATTGTTGATTCCAAATATTATCTCTCCTACCATTTATGAAGGTAAGAAATAGATAATAGATAAATTTTTAATATCATTATTTCATTAAATAATTTTAGTATAGATATTAGCTTAGAATGTGATTTAAATCAGAAAATGATTATTATAATGTTTTTATAATTATATTTCTTACAGTAATACAGTACAGCTATAATTTTAAGGTCCAGTATAGAATATTTTCAGATTATGACAATCTAAGTTTTTATATTCCAAGCTGTTATAGAATATAATGAATGGAAAGAAAGTATGATGATTGGCCAAATTATGACTACTACAGATTTTTGATTTCTTGATGTTTTGACATGCAAGAAACTTGAAAATGTGAAAACACTTAAAAATTTTGTATATGTATATCAGCATCTATTTTGCATTGTATCTCAGGACTGGACGAACTAAAAATTTTGAAATTTTGCAGAGTTATTTCTATATACATAGAGCTGTTAAATTTTGATGGTTAAAGGTCAAGGGAATGGAGAAATANGATAAACTAAACTGAAGATAAAAAAATCGAAGTTTGTAATACATAAATTGAAATAAAATCATATGATTTCCGTACAGTAAATGTCATTTATATGACATTTATTTCATCGGATTAATCACGGATTTATTGGAATGACGTTGTTGAACTGATTTTGAAGTATTTCATATCGAAGAGTCAATAGAATAATGCTATAATAATTGAAATATTCTATTATTTATGATTAATAATTCCTATTGTGAATATTATACAATAAAAATAAAATAATTTATTCAGCTGCTAAATTGAAGACACTAGCTTTCTTTTTATTGACTGAAACATTTTCAACTACAAGTCATTTTCAGCAGTCTTTGAAAAATAGAATAGAATTCAAAAATGACTTATGGTTATCATCATAATAATTTTAGTGCATTATATTACAGGTACTATTCAAGTTGTGTTTTTATTAATTATATCTAAATGGAGTGGTGGATTTAGCACTTGAGAGGCTCCAGGTGCAATTCAATTTTGAGGCCCCCTCTAAATATTTTTACCACCCCTACATCCTACAGTGTGCATCCTATGTACATATGTTTTATTCTGGTAGGCACTATACCAGTGGTTCAAAAAAGTGAGACATAGGGAAATAACATTGAAAATTAACCAATATAAAATTACAACTGCCTGTGGCTGTATTTAAAAGGTTACTGGTGTTCAGATCATATTAATTGTGAAAATTGAAACTTATTGGTACAAGAATTATTAAGTTTCAATAGGTAAAAATGTTAAAACCAAAAACATTTAGTAATCCATGGATATAAAAAATAATTCACTTTAAAATTTACTTCTGATTTGTATTTCAAAAATCTAGTAATCTATGAATAATCAAAATTTATNTGTTTTTTACTTTGTTAGGCACTATAGCAGTGGTTCAAAAAAAGTGAGATATAAGGAAATAACATTGAAAATTAACCAATATAAAATTACAACTGCCTGGCTGTATTTAAAAGGTTACTGATGTTCAGATTGTATTAATTATGAAAATTGAAACTTATTGTACAAGAATTATTAAGTTTCAATAGGTAAAAGTGTTAAAAACAAAAAAATCTAATAATCCATGGATATAAAAAATAATTCACTTTAAAATTTACTTCTGATTTGTATTTCAAAAATCTATCAATAGTAATCTACTAATAATAAAAATTTATTTGTAAATTATTATAATAGATTTCACTATTGTTTGGTAAATAATGGAAAACATTTTGAACATTTGTTATAATTAATTCTATTTTAAGTATTCAATTTCATCTTTTGGGTTTTCTGGGAATNTCCTACAAGCACTGAGCTTCTTCCACGTCTATTTAGATTTGGCCATGCCTGCAATAGGCAAGGTACATATCAATCTTGAAAAATTTCTGGGGTTCCCAATCCACAGACTTGAATCTAAATCACTCTGAGTGATATCACCTTTACCCCCTTAGCCATCCAGCCATCTTTCCAACTCTCTGGAAGAATTAACTTATTCCACAGTAGTAACAATGTTTAATTTATTTTTTGGAAAAAATATTGCATGGGCTAAAGTTGAATTAATTTGTATTTTCATTTTTTGTAAAGTTATCAAATGATTATGATGTAAAATTTTAGGATGAAATGTCTTCACTCTCTCCATAATAATTAATCAGACAAAAGCAACTAGTGTCACCTGACAAAATTATTTGAACTAGCTGAAATTCAATACTGTATTACAGATACGAAGACTAATAAAATTAATTTCTAGGAATAATTATTATTACAGATGATATACATATATATAAAATCTCTAAGTCTGATAGTTATAGTAAAGCCAAATTATTGGGGATTAAATAGGGCTAGATTACCACTACTATTAACAATTAAATACTGAGTAATTTGGCCTAGAGGTAAGCATTGGGCATCATCTCTTATTAAATTTAATAATAATTAAATTAATATTTATTAAATAATTTAGAAAATTCTGGAAGAAAAGAATCAACCCAGAACAGGACTCAAATCTCTCAATTGCTGCTTACAATGTGGATGTGTTGCCAGTTTTACTACCCAGACCTCCATTTGATCTCTTGCTTCCAGACATATATTTAGATATAACAATGCTACAATATTNACAAATAATGCAAGTTTCGGTTACTCATGTTTGTTTCATGGTGTTGATTTTACACAGTTTTTGTATTTGTTGCTTTAATTTTGGACACTGGTATATATTCCAAGTAATTTGGCACCATATTTATACAATAAAATACAAATAATATTATACAATAAAAATAAAATAATTTATTCAGCTGCTAAATTGAAGACACTAGCTTTCTTTTTATTGACTGAAACATTTTCAACTACAAGTCATTTTCAGCAGTCTTTGAAAAATAGAATAGAATTCAAAAATGACTTATGGTTATCATCATAATAATTTTAGTGCATTATATTACAGGTACTATTCAAGTTGTGTTTTTATTAATTATATCTAAATGGAGTGGTGGATTTAGCACTTGAGAGGCTCCAGGTGCAATTCAATTTTGAGGCCCCCTCTAAATATTTTTACCACCCCTACATCCTACAGTGTGCATCCTATGTACAGTACATATGTTTTATTCTGGTAGGCACTATACCAGTGGTTCAAAAAAGTGAGACATAGGGAAATAACATTGAAAATTAACCAATATAAAATTACAACTGCCTGTGGCTGTATTTAAAAGGTTACTGGTGTTCAGATCATATTAATTGTGAAAATTGAAACTTATTGGTACAAGAATTATTAAGTTTCAATAGGTAAAAATGTTAAAACCAAAAACATTTAGTAATCCATGGATATAAAAAATAATTCACTTTAAAATTTACTTCTGATTTGTATTTCAAAAATCTAGTAATCTATGAATAATCAAAATTTATTTGTAAATTATTATAATAAATTTCACTATTGCTTGGTAAATAATGGAGGACATTTTGAACATTTCTTATAATTAATTCCATTCCAAGTATTCAATTTCATCTTTTTGGTTTCCTGAGAATGCACTGATTGATAAAGCAAATAAAGAAATCTGATTTTTTTTCTTCTGTAAATTGTTATTATGTCTTGAATATTATTATTAATTTTTGTTAAAAATAAAATTATTTAAGAATATTTGCACCCTAGTTTGTGATCTGTACACGATTGTCTACAGAACAGTCAGTGCTTATGGTTTGAAATATGACCGCTAGGGTTGATACTCGCAAAACATGTCATAGCTGGCATTATTCATTTGTCAATTTAATTTAGGGAATACTACTAAATTATTAATTTTTTTTATTTTGAGGCCCCAGGCGTGCACCTGTGCAGAAATCCGCCACTATCTAAATGAATTATAAGTGTAATAGCAAATTTTAAAAACAAGAATGAAAAAGTAGCTCATTTTCTGAAAAAAATTTTTTTAGTAAAATTCATCTTTTTCAAGAGTAACTTTTATGAAAAACCTAAACATTCATAGAAAAGATAATTCTTCAGATTTACTGTAACAGGAACTTACCCTATTAGGAATGTAACAATAAAAGAGAACTTTTCCAAGATTGATTGCCCTTCTTTGATAACTATTATTATTTAATACATTTGGTTCTATATTAAAAGTCAAAACTATTTCATTTTTATTATTATTTTAGGTGTTGTGTGTTTTAATATTTATTTAACCTAACTATGAATCAAATAAAACTGTTTGAAACTATAAATAAAATAAATTATTTGACTACTATTTCTTTATAAATACAATGAAATATCACACACCAAACTTTATTTGTAGTACCTTCTAAACAATTCTCCAGTAGCTTATTATCTTGATAATGTTAGTCATTACCAAGGTAATAACAATGATCCTGCTATACTTCCGCTCCAGTATTAATAAGTATGAGTAGAAATATCACACAAAAAGGAGAACAGTGTAATACAGACTTACAGGACAACATATGTAAGACAAAAATTATTCTGGTTTAACTAAGATAAGATGAGGAATTTTATACATGTTCCTTTGCAGATTACTATGTTTAGCTAGGTGACATTTTTCACTTGCATCTTGGTATTACTCAGTAGGGCCAAGTATAATCATCTTCTTGAAAACTGCATATGAGCTAAGATAATTTTATTCTTATATTTATCTACTATATATAAACAAATTTATACATGAGAAACATATATTACAACAGAAGAGTATGTAGTTTATATTTTGAGTTGCTATTTTGTATCTTGTGATTATTTAGTAATCATAACTATATTTTTCAACAAAATTATTTATGGCATAAATTGTTGACATTATGTAAATGAAAGAAGAAAGCAGTTTATCCTAAAAAGATTAACTAATTTCTTTACTAATAGTTAACAGGTTTTAGTTTTAAGAACTCTATGTATAGTGCTTCTTAAAACTAAAAAGCATTTAAGGATATTAAAAATTAAGTTTCAATTTCTTTAAAGTTAAACCTGTTTTTCTATTAATGATTTATGTGATTTGACTATATTTAGGATCATGACTTTGATAGTATGTTTAGACACATTATCACATACTATACTCATACAACACACAGAAATATACATAGCAAACAATGCAGAAGTGAATGGTCCTCCATTGCAATGAATCATCCAAATGCCTTCTCTGATGCATTCCTGATAATCCTTGGACTGTTAGTGATCATAGCAAATGATTGTTTGTCAGAAATGTTTTTTTATGTTTATATAGTACTGTACATTACATTTTATCATAAATGTTCATTGCTATCGTGTAAGAATAAAATTATCTTATCAAGTATCATTGCAAGACACTTGATATGATGGCATTTTGCTGATTTACAAATAATGCAAGTTTCGGTTACTCATGTTTGTTTCATGGTGTTGATTTTACACAGTTTTTGTATTTGTTGCTTTAATTTTGGACACTGGTATATATTCCATCCCAATATATAATCCTGCAGTTCATTTGGCATATCTATAGAATTAAATTGATTCTTATGTTGTTATATATATATATTTTCCAACTTTTCTCTCTTTGTGCATTAATAAAAATCATAACCCTCTATAAAATGGAAATCTGTCAAAACAGAAAATTGTGTCCAGTACTATTGCATTTAATTTGGACAAGTTTTATCACTTAAATATCTGTAAATACTCAACAAAATAATCTCCTTAAACAATTGGGCTATAAATCAGCTATTATTAATGATTAGATACTAGGTAATTAATAATAGTGGATTTATAGCTTGATTATTTAAGGCAATTTTTGGTTGAGTATCTATATATTGGGTTTTGGGATGTTTTGTATACTTATATCTGTAAATATATAAAAGTAATAGAAATAACTGTCTTATATTGAAATCTAAGTAAATTTATTTTAGTACTATTTTAATTAAATTACAATTGTTTCTCATGTAATGTGATATGTGTTATTAAAAAACCACCATATTATGAAGTTTTTCACAATAAAAATAATGGCTTATGGAAAAAATTGAGTTATTCTCAAATCTTGTATCGTCTTGTAAAATATACGAGGCGTGTCCGGGAAGTAAGTACTGTTNTGGTAAATAATGGAGGACATTTTAAACATTTCTTATAATTAATTCCATTCCAAGTATTCAATTTCATCTTTTTGGTTTCCTGAGAATGCACTGATTGATAAAGCGAATAAAGAAATCTGATTTTTTTTCTTCTGTAAATTGTTATTATGTCTTGAATATTATTATTAATTTTTGTTAAAAATAAAATTATTTAAGAATATTTGCACCCTAGTTTGTGATCTGTACACCATTGTCTACAGAACAGTCAGTGCTTATGGTTTGAAATATGACCGCTAGGGTTGATACTTGCAAAACATGTCATAGCTGGCATTATTCATTTGTCAATTTAATTTAGGGAATACTACTAAATTATTAATTTTTTTTATTTTGAGGCCCCAGGCGTGCACCTGTGCAGAAATCCGCCACTATCTAAATGAATTATAAGTGTAATAGCAAATTTTAAAAACAAGAATGAAAAAGTAGCTCATTTTCTGAAAAAAATTTTTTTAGTAAAATTCATCTTTTTCAAGAGTAACTTTTATGAAAAACCTAAACATTCATAGAAAAGATAATTCTTCAGATTTACTGTAACAGGAACTTACCCTATTAGGAATGTAACAATAAAAGAGAACTTTTCCAAGATTGATTGCCCTTCTTTGATAACTATTATTATTTAATACATTTGGTTCTATATTAAAAGTCAAAACTATTTCATTTTTATTATTATTTTAGGTGTTGTGTGTTTTAATATTTATTTAACCTAACTATGAATCAAATAAAACTGTTTGAAACTATAAATAAAATAAATTATTTGACTACTATTTCTTTATAAATACAATGAAATATCACACACCAAACTTTATTTGTAGTACCTTCTAAACAATTCTCCAGTAGCTTATTATCTTGATAATGTTAGTCATTACCAAGGTAATAACAATGATCCTGCTATACTTCCGCTTCAGTATTAATAAGTATGAGTAGAAATATCACACAAAAAGTATGAATAATTATAAAATCCTTAATTTTTTTGTAAAGCATATATACAATAAAATTATTTACATTAAACAACTTAAACAAAGTTGTAAGCAATACAATAAAAAAGTAATTATTGTGTTATAAATTTTATAATCTATAAACATATTAAATTATGAAAGAAAAAAATTTTTTACTGTAAATTTTGCAAAACTGATATATAGTGTATGTTGTATGAATGACAAATATCTTATCTCTATTGATATTTTTTCATTATTAGAAATAAAACATACTGTTCTTAATATTAGCAAAGAAATATATCAAAGATTGTGTAATTGTAGAATCCATTCACAAAGAGAAAAATTAAAAATCAAAATGAATGAATGGTATCTGTTATCTATGCATTAGTTCTAGTCTAATAAAGATATAAAACAGTAAGCATTTTGAACAGTAATTTATATTAAATTTTATTGTTGATTTTTCGTTTTTTTTATAGAGCTGAATTTTATTAAAAATAGTTTGACTACAGTAGAGGAGTCCTTAAAGTCATCTGGTGTTGTTAGCAGTGGAGGAAGATTTGAATGGATAGATAGTATACTTGTAACAGCTATCAAAAAAGGCTATTGGTTGTTGATTGATGATGTAAATTTTTGCAGGTAAGGACTCTAATAGAATTCTGTTCAATTTTATACCTTGCAGATATTTAAGATTAAATGTAAGGAAAATCAGTTTTTTTATAATTTTTATTTTGAAATGAGGTCAATTGAATGATAATATACTCATTGACAAAAAGTTACATAACCAGATAAAATTAATTGATTACTTCTCTCATAATAATTATCATCTGATTATGAGTGAAGCACAAACAGCTGCAATGGCATCTTTTTCTAATATCCAGAGACACAGGAGCCTCACTACCCATTTTTTCTTATACCATTTGCAAGGTGACTAGCATAGATAAAACTGCATTTACAGAGATTGTTATGTATCCTACCATTACCACTCCAAAATTGTCTGCTTCATTTGCAGTAGTGTAACAGAAAAGCATGGACTGCTGATCATTGCAGCTGATCACTTTTAGCAATGAACCTTGGTTTTGTTTGGGAACAGACAACCATCAAGTTAGTATGGTGATCATTAGTTAGTGTTTCAATCCTGTCTTTACTGTTGAGTAGTGCTGCTCTGACTGTTGGTGTACTGGTCTGGGGAGTAGTCTTGTATGACAGGCAGCTACCTCCTAATAGAGGTATGAGGACATTGACAGTGATACATTCAGGAAGTCTTGCTCCCTTGTGTTGCCTTACATGGCAGGACTGCAAACAATAATTTTCCAGCAAGATATTGTTCAGCTGCACACAGTTAAAATTTCTCAGGAATGCATCCATTACATTGCCACACTTCCTTGGCCTGCCCAGTCTTCAGATTTATCATCCATCAAGCATTTATGGACTAGATGGGATATCAGTTTATGCCATTTACAAATGTGAGTGACTGGAACAAACAGTAGCAAATCTGTTGCAGGATAGCATACAATGCCTTGATGCCTGACCATATTAGTATATGTATCCAAGGCATCCAGGCATTGTATGCTATCCTTCAGCAGGTTTGCTACTGTTGTTCCAGATCCCTTTCACTTGTAAATGGCCCAAACTGATAGCCCATCTAGGCAAAAACAGGTCCTACAAGTTACTAAAGATCACTTTAAATTGTATCTTTGTTCCATGGGAAATATTCTCTTTGCTATGACAATGTCAACTTATTACTATTATCAATACATTTGCACTAATAAAGTTTCATTTGACTCCAATACCTCCTTCTTGGTGCTTAACTTTTTTGTCAATGAGTGTACTTTTTAAACTTTTTTAACTTTGTAAAGAATCTAAAAATTTAATGCTATTGCATGAAATTCAAAACAACCGAAGAATAACAAAAATTATTTCATAAAGATTTTTTTATATTTAATAAAGAAAATATTTTTTATTTATTATATATTTTAAGTTAGTGAATATTTTATTTATGATTATCTTTATATAATGGTTTTATTGAATAACTTCTTTGAATTTAATAGCAATATATAGCTATAAAGCACTTGTTCATAATGTTAATTTTTTTTTTTAACACATTTCAACTGTTTAACTTATTTTCAACCTATATTAATGCTAATTTTAACTAATTAGGATTGAAATTTGACTAAAGATGTGTGATAGTGCTGCCATCTTGTATAAATATTAATAATTAGAAATTAAGTTTGAACATAGTTAAATACTTTATAAAATTCTGGAAGAAATCAACCTAGAATGAGACATGAATTGACAATTTCTGCAAGCTAAGTAGATCGATCAGTTTTGCTATTAATGACTGATCTTCATTCTCAGATATATATTAAACTTTTTATATAATGTCCATAAGTCATCATTGACTAAGTGATGTTGAGGATCTATAGATGTTGGATGTTCTTAGTCAACCTGGCAATAATTAACTAGCATAGTTATGTATTAAGTTTAAGTTAATATATCTCTGGAAGTATAGATCAGATTAAAAATCCAAGTGGCATAACTGGTAATGCCCAGTTTTCAGGAGTTGAAGATTCGAATCTCATGCCAGATTAAGCTTTTCTTCCAGAATTTTTCGAATTATTTAATTAAACTCAAAATTAATTTCTAATTATTAATGGTAATTTAAGATAACGGTACCATTACTTATTTTTAGGTCAACTTTCAAATTTATTTAATTAAAAATAATTCAGAAGGTTATATTTAGGTTTGGAAAAAAATCAGACTTTATTTACTATTTATAATTTTGTTTTCTTTTTTTTTAATAATTTTCTTATCATTTACTAAATTATAGAAACACCAATTTAATATTATTATTGAAATGAAAATATTATTTTGATAATATATTCAAAATTAGTTTATAGAAATTTCCATTAATTGATTTATAAATTGTTTTATGTATGCTTGTTTATAAGTTCATTAAAAGCTTTGCTGTCAGAATCAACATTAAAATAATCAAATTTTTAAATGTTTTGATTACCTGGTTGATAAATTTATCTTTGAATTAATGTCATATAACAATAAGATTTTTTCAAGAAATTGTTAAAATGTCAAAATAAACGGTATGGCAAATTGTTTACATTTAAAAAGAAGTCAAATACGAAGTTTTAAAAACTTCAAATTTGACCTTTTTTTGAAATTTACAAACAAATATTTAAAATCTTGTAAAATATTATAATGTTTTATTAATTAAACTTTAAATTACAGTTTCACTTATATCTATGTATTGGTTGTTCAAATTTTCCAGATAATTTGATAATAGAGAGTAAAGTTTTCAATACTATGAAACTGTTTTTACCGTAATAAAGGTTTTGAATTTAAGAATTTTGAATAATTTCAGCCCTTCTGTTCTTGATCGCCTGAATGGGTTATTGGAACCAAATGGAGTTTTAACACTAAGTGAATTAGGTGTAATAGGTGAAGAAGTTCCAGTTATTACACCCCATCCAAATTTTAGGTTTTTATATAAATATATAGTTTTTAAAATTTATATTATATAAATGGTAATTAGGCTATTTATTTAAAAGATAACTAATTATTTTAATTATAGACTTATCTTTGCAATGAATCCTAAAAATGGAGAAATTTCTCCTGCTATGAGAAATCGTGGGATTGAAATATATATTCCAGGAGAGGTATGTCAATCAAAAATACTTATTTCAATGAATTATAATTGTTAATCTAAGCTTTATGATTAAGTGTAATATTATCTTACATAAAATTTTTTTATTAAAACTTGCAAGTCAAAACTATTATTTTTCAAAGAGCTATATAATTATTAAAAATATATGAATATTAAAATTATTTATTTTTATGAAAACAATTTTTCTGTTTGAAGATGATCATATCTAAATACAGAAAATCTTCGTTAGTTTGAAATTTAAGGGACAAAATAATTGAGACTTTGAATTATCAAGTTTTGAATTATCTGAGATTTACATATTTCTGTACAGTATGTCAAATGCCAGATAACTGATGTAATTTGTTAAGCAAATGGAATACAGCTATGTATATAGAACACTATTTTCGTTAATTAATAAATAATAATATAAATAAACTGCAGGTAAACAGCACATGTCCAGTGAGAACTTGACAGGTTGTCAGATAGATTTTATAAAAAAGTAAAGCAGAATTCCTCAAACTGTAGCTCTAATTATTTTCAAAGAGGCCCATAAAGTAGTAAGTTGCCCAAAAGTAGTATCATAGAATCCTACAAATGTCTCAATCTACTACTTGTAGCCCAATCTTGCAATCTCAAAAACCAGCCATATTTTACGAAATAAGAGAAGAAAAGGGTAGTCCATAGGTAAGGTGACACCTAAAAATGTGTTACTTGTGAAAACAAAGCCATATTGACCAGATTAGAGTTATTCTTGGTTTATTGTTTTTTTATAGTATAGAGTCACTTCAGTCTAAATGAATGAGTTAACATATGCATATCACAGTTCAGACAGAATGTTCACTTCGAATTTTGAAGTAGCTGTATATTTCAAACTAACCAAATTCCTTAACTTATAAATCTCTATATCCCCTGCCAGGACAAATAGTACAGTTACGAACTAACAGGATGTTGAACTATCCAAGTTTGAGTTAACAAGGATTTCCTGCAGAAACATTATATTCTTTCTTGAAATTTCAATGAGAAAATAAATTACATGATTTTCATTTATTATAAATCAATTATCTACTGTATGTGCCCATTGAATTTCAATTGTTTTTTTTTTATAAAAAGTTTCTCTGTGAGTTCTGTTTTCCTGTCCAAATTAAAGCAATATATACAATGTGCATGGCAAAAATGCAGAAATGAATGGCCCTTCATCATGCAATGAATCATTTAAATGCCTTTTCTGTAAAACATGGCTGATAAGCTATTGATGTATCCCTTATTGTTAGTGGTCCTAACAGACAATTGTTTGTCAGAAATGATTTTACTGTATATAGAACATTACATTTTCCTGCACGGTGCACTGTTATTGTGTCTCATTGCATGACACTTGCATGATAGGATGGCAGTTTGCTGATTTACAAGTGACATAAGTTTCAGCTGCTAACATTTCAAGGTGTTGATTTCACATAGGTTTTGTTTGTTGCTTTTATTTTGGACACCAATGTACATATATATATATGAAAGTTTTTGTTTTGTAGTTGTTGTTATAATTCTAATTATTGAACATTATTTTATTTATTAATAGGCTGATGGTCATAACTTTGATGACTTTGATTTGTATACATTACTCCAATGTAAAGGATTAAATGATTCTTTGATAATATCTGATCTATTGTGTACACATAAAATGATTTTAGAAGAATATTCAGGTAAAAAGCTTTACCAATAAATTTATGTAAACATTTTTATTTATTAATGAGCAAATCAAATGATTTAATTAGGTAATCAAATAGAAGTGCCAACAGTTTTGGAATTATTACAAACAACTTCTTTGTGTGTCCAGCTTCTTCAATGTGGTTATCATCCAGAAAATGCATTTATAGAAAGTTGTAATACTGTTTATGTGAAGGGTATTCTTAATCATTTTGTTAAACAGGTAATTTTTATCTATAATATTTCTATATTAAATCTTAAAAAATGAAGAATTTTATATAAAATATAATGGAAATTAAATAAATTTGAAAGCTTTTCTTTTATTCTTCTGCTATAGAAAATTTGAATAATATGTTAATTAATAAGTTAAACTTTGGCCCTGAATGTCAAATATTTAAATAAAAATGTTAGCAAAATTTTGGGAATTCATTTGTATTATGAGATATTTGTAAGACAACAAAAACTTTAATTTGTAGCATATTGATCATGTTTGTAGTATACTAAATTAAAAATATTTTAAATATTAATATTCTACAAATGTTATTCAAAATAAATGCCAAAATTTTTTCATAAATGCATATTTTTTTCTTTTTATCATCTAAAAGATAAATGGTAACTATATGGTCATATAACATTTTTGTAGCATTTAAAAGCAGAAATAATGATTCTACTTATGAAATAGATTTACAATGAAGAATGCTTTTACATATAAATGCCAGATTGAATAATTTTTAAAAGAAGTCTGTCAAATTCTAATTTAAAATAAATGTTTAAGGTTTTAGGCTATTTAAATACCTTGAATGCAAAAATATTCAAAATATAACTGGATTTAAAATATCATAATTTTTTATGTATAATCCACAGTGGCTTATATACCCTGCAGAAAATTGCTAGAGCAAAAATGAAAGAATTGCATAACCTACATCACATGTACCCAGCATTATGAAAGTTGTTGAAAATTATAGAAACTAAAGTCTTCTGTTTTTTCATTGTTTTTTTCATTTTATTTTTGTTACAATTGATTATAAAAATGTAATTATGAAATATGTGAAATAGAATATTTGAGAGAGAATTGCCTAAACTGAATTATTATTATTGATAATATTTATAGTATAGGTGATGTTTGAAGAAACAGGTAGTGTTGAAATGAATCAAAGATAGCATTACCCAATATTGTTGTTGATAGAAATGATTTGTCTTAATAGATAAGAAGGCAATAAGTAGTAGATAGAGTAATTTTCATTAATGTCATAATTGTTGACTTTACCTAGAAAGTTGCATATAGATTCTACAGTATTGATTGACATGGTTGTAGAGCTGATTTGTTTAGTTCTTATTCACTGTAGAAAAACTAAAAACTAACATTTACTAAAATCAACTCTTATTTTCTAACATTTTGTGAGAGTTATTGTATGTATTTAGTAATATGTATTAGATTGTAATTTGTGAAAGTTATATTTATGGCAATTCCCCTCTTTTTATATAATATCAGTTTTCAAGGTACAAGTTTAAGTAACAATGTTTAATAATATCAATTATAATATGGATTGACATATAGAAAATGAGAGACAACTAAAGATTAATCATATATCACCAAAGACATGTTTTTGATGGTTCCTGGAAAAAATGTGATGGCAGATGAATATGTGTAATGCAAAAAAGATTTTTTATATATCTAAAGATGCTCCTGGTAAGTTTGGAAAAAGGAAAAATGCAACAGCTTTTTCTAAGTGAATTGGATGAGTTTGTAATTGTAGTTTAAAATCAAGAGATAATCCCAACAACAAATAATTTATACTGACTTTCAAATTGACTTTTAAACAGATAACCTGCAGATATTTACAGGAAATTATGGTATACATCAAATTATTTTAAACTTTAAAAAATATAACGTAATAAGAGATTAAAATTGGTAATCATTGTAACACTTAATATCCCGCAAATTAAGATGAGTTTGTGTTAATTTAATTCTGAATGATTAGTGGCCGAAAGTCTTTATTATATTAAAATGACATTGAAATTACATTTAACAATATTACTATCTCTTAAAATTATTTTATTCTGTTTAGTAGGAATACATTTTCAAGTTTGGTTTGCTAAAAGTATTCAAATATGAATTGATTTTGTTTAATTAATTAATATATAGCACTTAATTAAGTTACTGTTGTTCATTTAATTATTTTTTCATTGTTTTAGAAAATTGAAATGTGTTTTAAAGAACTCATTTCTGGATTTTCTACATTACATAATTACTCTGATACAAATATCCTTTCATCTCTGATGCCATCAGCATTAGAATTCTATATGGATCCTATTTTGGCTCGCTTGAAACAAGAGAGTATATTATGCAACTGTCTCCTTTATAATGTTGAAAATAATAATAAGATGTAAGTATTTCAAGTGTTAACAAAATTTCAAAGCTTAGATTTAATTATTATCTTTATGAAACATTAAATTTTGTTTATTAGTTGTTGTAATAAGTTTATAAATGTAATATATTTTAGACCAAAATAATTTTTAGTTACTGTTGATAATTATAGATTTTGTTTGTATAATATAGATTGTAGAAGTTATCTAAATGTAAGATAAACATAACATACACATAAACACAAACAAGCATACTTAAACACATTTATGAATTGAGGCAAAATTTTAAAATTTAAACTCTAATAGCCAAAGTTGTATTCTTAGGCTTTTTAATATACTTGGCTATTCATACAGCTATCTTTCATGTAGCAGGCAATTCCTACAACAAGGTTTTGCTTTAACATGGTTTGAGAATTGGGGAAATGCCCCATACAACAAGATTTTGCTCTATTGTGGTTCAAGAATTGGAGCTCTATACAAAACATCACAACTGTTAAGTGCAAACACCAACATTTGTTATTTTTTTATTCAAACGAGTATGTGTGTTGTCTTGTATTTGTCCATGGATTTTAGGATATTGAAATTGTCAATGTTGTTTTGTGCCTCTTGCCTAGTTTTCTTTAATGAGAATTGATTGTACAATTTTTTTCTTTCTTCTCCTAGCTTTCTGTTCTAGCATTCCTATAAACCAGGTGTTGTTGTCATTAGTGATAGTTCTCTAAATGAAAGTAAAAGACTGTCACTGTGTTTTTTTTTTATATATTATATTAAAAGTTACTACATACAAAGATTAAATTTATAAAGATCTCTTAGATAAACACAAGCCAAATGAAAATATCAGATTTTATGAAAAAAATAGAGAAAAATCAAGATGTTGCTGATACTTCAGATTAAGATCAACAGATATTGCTCACAATGTTCTTGTTGTTTGTGAATTTTTGGCCCAAACAACAAGAGAATTTGGCCAAAAATTCAACAAATACAGATGTACAGTACAAGCTCCATATTCACTTGATAGGGAATCATGTGACTTTTTCCTGTTTACTCAACTAAAATTTCCACCTTGTGGTTACTGTTTTAAATCAGTTTATTCCTTAAAACAAAATCTGTTGCAAGTCCTGAAATGAAAGTTGGTTTCATGAAAATGACTTTATAGCATGCTTCAAAGATTGGAACAAGTGACATGAGTACATTGCAGTGGGAGGGGATTACTTTGAAGAGGACAAAATAAATTTTAATGAATAAATTCAAATCTTGTATCTTATTGAACATTCCTGATACTTTTTGATAACAAGGATATATTGTATGGATTTTGTACACTCAGATATAAATACAGTATACATCTGGTAGCATTACAATTTTGAAATAACTTGTCAGGTTAAATTACATTAGCTGCCTATAATTTACTTATATTCAATATAATGGTGTGTATTTAAAATTATGTTATAATGTAAGTAATATAATTTGTATTTTTGATAATTTTATATAAATANTCCCCCAAACATATTTATGTAGCTAAAATTAGTTTTAACTAATGTTAAAAGTTAAAACTAGTTTTATCTAAAGTCAAAACATATACAGCAGTAAATTAACTAGGCAAAACCGAGTATAAACTATTAAAACTAGAATTTACTGCTAGTCAAAAATGAATTTGAGTTAAAACTAGTTTTAACTAGACAAAACGGGTTTTAACAAAGACATTTAGTATAAACTAGTTTCAACTAGACAAAATGGGTTTTAACAAAGACATTCAGTATAAACTGGTTTCAACTAGACAAAACGGGTTTTAACAAAGACATTCAGTATAAACTAGTTTCAACTAGTTAAAACGCGTTCTAACTAAAAACGGGTTTTGACTGTAACAGATATACTTGCATTTTACTATTCTAGCAGCTCATTCTTTTGGGTTACTCTAATGAAGGCAAAAAAATAAAAATGATTACATATTATATATTTGGTTTGTTCGTAATGTTAAATGTGTAATACAAGTTTTTGAATTGGGAATTTGGAATATAGTCTTTACATCTTCCAAGGACAAATTTTTTCATTTCAAAGTATTTACTAAAAAATTGAAAATAGTTTGTTTAAAATAGTGTTTAGTTTGATGAGAATAGTTATAAAAATTATTTTGTTTTGGTAGATGTATTTATTAGAGAATCTATTTTAAATTGCATTAATTCTTTCTTAATTTGCAGTGAAAGACTTTCTATTTCCAACTTGTTAATTTTATCATCTTAGTACTGAAATTGATTTTAAATTTCTGGATTTTATTTTGAATCACTCATAACTCAGTTCATCTGTAATCAAGAAATTTGGTTAGCCAATTTATCATTACTAAAATTAATTAAATTCAATATTTTATATCATAAATTGCTTTTGAAATGTCTTTATTCTCTACACAAGATCGCCATGAACTGAATTTAATTTTTCTAGCTCACCTGATGATTTAAAGAGATCACTCTGATTTTCTTCTGTAAAATTAGTTATCAACTTTGAATTCATATTAGATTATGTATCTTTTTGAAGGTGAGACTGATGACATGCTGTTATAGGACAACTTTGTTTGGATGAATATGTGTGCAATGGTTCAGAATTTGGTTATATGCTATAAATCACTATTAGAAGGAAAATTAACTTGTTTTTACAAATATTAATCAAATTAAGCTGAGTATGGTCTACACCAGTCATTGATATATCTTCAAATTAATGGTTTCAAATAAATACATCAGTTATTGAGATCAATAATAAACTCTATTATTTTTATTTTTTAACTCCAGATTAAATATTGATTCGTTTTTCAAAATTTTATTATAAATCTACAGAAGAGAAAATTAGTAGTTTTTCTGAAAAAAGATAGCTGAATCAGTTAGGAGAGAATTGACATTTATTTGTATTATTATATATTTAAAAGTTTATTGATAAGAAATATTATTTGATTTACAATAATTTATNATTGAAATGAATCAAAGATAGCATTACCCAATATTGTTGTTGATAGAAATGATTTGTCTTAATAGATAAGAAGGCAATAAGTAGTAGATAGAGTAATTTTCATTAATGTCATAATTGTTGACTTTACCTAGAAAGTTGCATATAGATTCTACAGTATTGATTGACATGGTTGTAGAGCTGATTTGTTTAGTTCTTATTCACTGTAGAAAAACTAAAAACTAACATTTACTAAAATCAACTCTTATTTTCTAACATTTTGTGAGAGTTATTGTATGTATTTAGTAATTTGTATTAGATTGTAATTTGTGAAAGTTATATTTATGGCAATTCCCCTCTTTTTATATAATATCAGTTTTCAAGGTACAAGTTTAAGTAACAATGTTTAATAATATCAATTATAATATGGATTGACATATAGAAAATGAGAGACAACTAAAGATTAATCATATATCACCAAAGACATGTTTTTGATGGTTCCTGGAAAAAATGTGATGGCAGATGAATATGTGTAATGCAAAAAAGATTTTTTATATATCTAAAGATGCTCCTGGTAAGTTTGGAAAAAGGAAAAATGCAACAGCTTTTTCTAAGTGAATTGGATGAGTTTGTAATTGTAGTTTAAAATCAAGAGATAATCCCAACAACAAATAATTTATACTGACTTTCAAATTGACTTTTAAACAGATAACCTGCAGATATTTACAGGAAATTATGGTATACATCAAATTATTTTAAACTTTAAAAAATATAACGTAATAAGAGATTAAAATTGGTAATCATTGTAACACTTAATATCCCGCAAATTAAGATGAGTTTGTGTTAATTTAATTCTGAATGATTAGTGGCCGAAAGTCTTTATTATATTAAAATGACATTGAAATTACATTTAACAATATTACTATCTCTTAAAATTATTTTATTCTGTTTAGTAGGAATACATTTTCAAGTTTGGTTTGCTAAAAGTATTCAAATATGAATTGATTTTGTTTAATTAATTAATATATAGCACTTAATTAAGTTACTGTTGTTCATTTAATTATTTTTTCATTGTTTTAGAAAATTGAAATGTGTTTTAAAGAACTCATTTCTGGATTTTCTACATTACATAATTACTCTGATACAAATATCCTTTCATCTCTGATGCCATCAGCATTAGAATTCTATATGGATCCTATTTTGGCTCGCTTGAAACAAGAGAGTATATTATGCAACTGTCTCCTTTATAATGTTGAAAATAATAATAAGATGTAAGTATTTCAAGTGTTAACAAAATTTCAAAGCTTAGATTTAATTATTATCTTTATGAAACATTAAATTTTGTTTATTAGTTGTTGTAATAAGTTTATAAATGTAATATATTTTAGACCAAAATAATTTTTAGTTACTGTTGATAATTATAGATTTTGTTTGTATAATATAGATTGTAGAAGTTATCTAAATGTAAGATAAACATAACATACACATAAACACAAACAAGCATACTTAAACACATTTATGAATTGAGGCAAAATTTTAAAATTTAAACTCTAATAGCCAAAGTTGTATTCTTAGGCTTTTTAATATACTTGGCTATTCATACAGCTATCTTTCATGTAGCAGGCAATTCCTACAACAAGGTTTTGCTTTAACATGGTTTGAGAATTGGGGAAATGCCCCATACAACAAGATTTTGCTCTATTGTGGTTCAAGAATTGGAGCTCTATACAAAACATCACAACTGTTAAGTGCAAACACCAACATTTGTTATTTTTTTATTCAAACGAGTATGTGTGTTGTCTTGTATTTGTCCATGGATTTTAGGATATTGAAATTGTCAATGTTGTTTTGTGCCTCTTGCCTAGTTTTCTTTAATGAGAATTGATTGTACAATTTTTTTCTTTCTTCTCCTAGCTTTCTGTTCTAGCATTCCTATAAACCAGGTGTTGTTGTCATTAGTGATAGTTCTCTAAATGAAAGTAAAAGACTGTCACTGTGTTTTTTTTTTATATATTATATTAAAAGTTACTACATACAAAGATTAAATTTATAAAGATCTCTTAGATAAACACAAGCCAAATGAAAATATCAGATTTTATGAAAAAAATAGAGAAAAATCAAGATGTTGCTGATACTTCAGATTAAGATCAACAGATATTGCTCACAATGTTCTTGTTGTTTGTGAATTTTTGGCCCAAACAACAAGAGAATTTGGCCAAAAATTCAACAAATACAGATGTACAGTACAAGCTCCATATTCACTTGATAGGGAATCATGTGACTTTTTCCTGTTTACTCAACTAAAATTTCCACCTTGTGGTTACTGTTTTAAATCAGTTTATTCCTTAAAACAAAATCTGTTGCAAGTCCTGAAATGAAAGTTGGTTTCATGAAAATGACTTTATAGCATGTTTCAAAGATTGGAACAAGTGACATGAGTACATTGCAGTGGGAGGGGATTACTTTGAAGAGGACAAAATAAATTTTAATGAATAAATTCAAATCTTGTATCTTATTGAACATTCCTGATACTTTTTGATAACAAGGATATATTGTATGGATTTTGTACGCTCAGATATAAATACAGTATACATCTGGTAGCATTACAATTTTGAAATAACTTGTCAGGTTAAATTACATTAGCTGCCTATAATTTACTTATATTCAATATAATGGTGTGTATTTAAAATTATGTTATAATGTAAGTAATATAATTTGTATTTTTGATAATTTTATATAAATACTAACCTATATTTTATATAAAGATAGAATTATATTAATTAAATTATCAACAACCATGAGGCAGATAATAGTGAGGGCTTATCTGTCTCACGGTTGTTGATAATTTAATTAATATAATTATACCAAGGGCTAGAAGCAACTTTTGTAAAGATAGAATTAGTTATTAGAAACAAAAATATTAAAACATTTGAATAGAAAATTTAAACTTTAGTACATTTCTCTAGGAAAAGAATTGTTGATGAAAGTATGGAAGATTTCACAGTAGACAAGACTCCATTAATAGCAGAATTACCATTTTCCATTGAATCAACAGAAGATCAAATTTATTTGATATGCTGTGTTGCAAAAATGTTCATAGAAACATCTACAATATGTGATTTTAGTTACCGAGAATTTTGGATTCAGCAGAAAGTTTCTCACCTGGAAAATAAATGTGAAATGTTCCAAAATGTATCCAGTCATCTGACTGTAATTTCAAAATATCTTTGTACAGTATTTGAATCTCCAATCATGCAGCAATTATATAACTATTTACAGAATTTTTCTAATTCAGGTTAGTATGTTAATCAATATATCACAAATTGTGAAATAATTATATATCACAATATGTAAAATTCAAAAGAAAAAATATAAATGAAAATGAACAAGCTGTCTATTGGCATTAACAGAACAAGATTTAATTACTAAGAACAAAATATGAGCACTTTTGACGGTATATAGCTGTCATCCTCGGGTACTGTGGCAGTTAGAACACAATAATTCAAAAAATAGAGAATATTTTCAATTTGCTCTATGAGCACAAGCAAGGAATACAAAACTTTTTTAAAATACAAAATTATATCATTACAAAAGAAACACAATATATGATGATAATAGTTTTTCAAAATGAACCAACTTAATATATACAGAACTAATTGACAGAAATACAAAAATGTTTTTTAGAGAAAAAAAGAAGGCACCAGTGTTTGTAGTTTTTGTATTTCTGTCAATTAGTTGTGTATTTATTAACTTGGTTAATTTTGAAAAACCGTCATCACATAAATTTCTTATTTCTTAAGATATTTATAGTCAGGAAGACAGGATTTTCTATTAAGAGAATTTCACTAAATCAGTGGATATGTTACAGTCAAAATGTGTTTTTAGTTAGAATGCGTTTTAACTAGTTGAAACTAGTTTATACTGAATGTCTTTGTTAAAACCCGTTTTGTCTAGCTGAAACTAGTTCTAACTCAAATTCATTTTTGACTAGCAGTAAATTCTAGTTTTAACTAGACAAAACGGGTTTTGTCTAGTTAATTTACTGCTGTACATGTTTTGATTTTAGATAAAACTAGTTCTAACTTTTAACATTAGTTAAAACTAATTTTATCTACATAAATATGTTTGGGGGAAATAAATAAAGTTATGTATAGTGATTCAGCGGAAGATGCCTAACATTTTGCTTATGAAGGAAATTACAGCGCTAATTTGGGTTTAGGAGCCCTCTAATGAAAATATCATATTCTGGAGTATGTTTTTCAAATAAAACTTTGGAGTTTATTTTAAAAAATTGTATACTGTGTTTGCAATGACGACTTTTTCACTGTCTGGCATTTTAGGCATCTCACCCCAAGTATCCGGGTGAGATGCCAAATGCCATTAGGGTAAGATAACAAATATAATTGCATAAAATTAATTTTTGAATTTCTTAACCAAATTTAATTTATTGCATATGTAGTACAAAGTACTTCATAGTAAGTATAACAGCACAGTATAAGTATTGTTAAGTTTCCGCCCGTTCTAACGTGTTCTATAGCTAGCTGAAAGCTTTTTTCAGTCCAAAAACTTTTTTGAGAAGTCCTTATATAATTTCTATGCATATCCTGCAATAAAACGAGAAAACAAAAGTTTATTAAAAATAGGCATATTGGAAATCAATTAACAAAAAATAGGCACGTTACCCCAAGAAAAATGTGGCATATTTTCCATTTGTTGGGGTAAGATGCCTAGTAGAGTCACATGCTCCAGCATGTCCGATCGGGATCGGCGGTAGCTGACAATGGAAACTTTAGAACCTTAACTACATCACACATTAATTGTTTTTAGCAATTTTTAATAAATTCCATTTTAACTTTTAGTTTAAAATTATTCTAGAAACATTTCACAACAAAAACTTCGTTCTTATCTAGCTTTTATTCTTCTCGGATGTAGAAAATGAAGTAACGGTAGCCAACTACAGCTTTCCGCACTCAATATTGGCCCAACGATTCATCATACAAATACATGACAATATGTGATGTCACCGTTTGAAAATATCAAAAATTAGGCATCATCCCCCGAATCACTCTATACGTTGCAGTCAAAACCAGTTTTTAGTTAGGATGCGTTTTAACTAGTTAAAACTAGTTTATACTGGATGTCTTTGTTAAAATCCGTTTTGTCTAGTTAAAACTAGAATTTACTGCTAGTCAAAAATGAATTTGAGTTAAAACTAGTTTTAACTAGACAAAACGGGTTTTAACAAAGACATTTAGTATAAACTAGTTTCAACTAGACAAAATGGGTTTTAACAAAGACATTCAGTATAAACTAGTTTCAACTAGTTAAAACGCGTTCTAACTAAAAACGGGTTTTGACTGTAACAGATATACTTGCATTTTACTATTCTAGCAGCTCATTCTTTTGGGTTACTCTAATGAAGGCAAAAAAATAAAAATGATTACATATTATATATTTGGTTTGTTCGTAATGTTAAATGTGTAATACAAGTTTTTGAATTGGGAATTTGGAATATAGTCTTTACATCTTCCAAGGACAAATTTTTTCATTTCAAAGTATTTACTAAAAAATTGAAAATAGTTTGTTTAAAATAGTGTTTAGTTTGATGAGAATAGTTATAAAAATTATTTTGTTTTGGTAGATGTATTTATTAGAGAATCTATTTTAAATTGCATTAATTCTTTCTTAATTTGCAGTGAAAGACTTTCTATTTCCAACTTGTTAATTTTATCATCTTAGTACTGAAATTGATTTTAAATTTCTGGATTTTATTTTGAATCACTCATAACTCAGTTCATCTGTAATCAAGAAATTTGGTTAGCCAATTTATCATTACTAAAATTAATTAAATTCAATATTTTATATCATAAATTGCTTTTGAAATGTCTTTATTCTCTACACAAGATCGCCATGAACTGAATTTAATTTTTCTAGCTCACCTGATGATTTAAAGAGATCACTCTGATTTTCTTCTGTAAAATTAGTTATCAACTTTGAATTCATATTAGATTATGTATCTTTTTGAAGGTGAGACTGATGACATGCTGTTATAGGACAACTTTGTTTGGATGAATATGTGTGCAATGGTTCAGAATTTGGTTATATGCTATAAATCACTATTAGAAGGAAAATTAACTTGTTTTTACAAATATTAATCAAATTAAGCTGAGTATGGTCTACACCAGTCATTGATATATCTTCAAATTAATGGTTTCAAATAAATACATCAGTTATTGAGATCAATAATAAACTCTATTATTTTTATTTTTTAACTCCAGATTAAATATTGATTCGTTTTTCAAAATTTTATTATAAATCTACAGAAGAGAAAATTAGTAGTTTTTCTGAAAAAAGATAGCTGAATCAGTTAGGAGAGAATTGACATTTATTTGTATTATTATATATTTAAAAGTTTATTGATAAGAAATATTATTTGATTTACAATAATTTATGAATTTTGAACAATCTTTTTAAAAGCTTTATTTTATTATCTATTCTGTTTTCAAAGTTGATAATTAGGAATGACAAGGTAATTCTTTAAAATTTTATTTTACAAAGGGAATTAGTTTGTTTAAAAAATATAATTTAAAGATATTACTTTTTATCTGTTTGTTAACTATATTATTATAATTCTTTTATTTAAGATAAGTTAAATGATCAGCTGATTGATGATATGTTATTGGATATAAGATGGAATACTGCATTACAGAAGAAAATTTTTATTTTATCAAAAGAAAATCAAGATTTATTATCAAGTCTTCATTCTTTTGGCAATAGGTATCATATATATATTTTTTTAATGTGTAAATTAATGTACTTGCATTATCATTATTTAATTAATAAATTAAAGAAAGGGATTAATTTTAAATATTTTTATTTCACAGATTTCAGCTTTTTCTGCATTATCAACTATTCAGGTTTATTCAGGACACATGTATTCATACAACAAAACAAAACAGAAATTTTTCTTTAGCTAATTTGTCTAAAGCATTTATTGAAGGGCGCATTATAAGAAATGATTTATCTCATTCTGTTATTCAATTTGTACTACCTCTTCTTTGTGAAATAGACAAGGAAATATTATTATTGCTTAATCAAAGAAATTATTTATGTAAAACAACTGATTTGTGGAAGGTAATATCACTTTTTTTATAATAATTCTTTTTAATTAAAATTTGAAGTGTGTTTTCTAAAATAGAACTTGTGATTCATATTTGATGATATTAAAATGGAAAATAATATATTTTTAAAATAGCATTACTAACATTGTTAACTGTTAATTACTTTTCTTAATATTGTCAGCTAATAGACAAAATTAATAAAGATCTTAATGCTACAATCATGTTTAGTTGCTAATAAATTATTAGTTTATTAATAGTACACATTATATATTAAATTAGAAATTAAATAAAAAATAGATAAATGATATGAATGTTAATGGTTAAAATTATTCTGCATCAGCTTTTTTCTGATATTCTCAAATTATATCAGTTTGATACTAAATTATAATAATTAAAATAAATAAATTTATTTATAATTATATATTTTTTTCTTTCAGATTATAGAAGCAATAAGATATTATCATTATTTTGTTGCCATTTGCTATGAAATATGTACAAAACAATCTATAAAACATCAACTATCTCTCTTGATATTACATTGGAGATGGATTGAGAAAAGGTTTCTTCCCTATTTGTTTAATGAAAATTCTAGAAATGAAAGGCAAGTATTTGATTAAAATTCTTAGTAATAAGTTCCATATTCAATAAATGATTATGTATATCAATATAATATTTACAGTACATTTAATTTTTAACATTTAACATTTCAGTGAAAATTGCAACTTGAAAATAATTGTTAATGACATCAAAAAAGCTTTAGAGCCTAATATATCAAGAATGCATGAACTAAAATTGAAATCATCTAAGTATTTGAGTTTTTGTGTGCCAATTCAAGATGAAATAGCAGCTTCTGTTTTTATAGATATACAAAGGTTTGTGATAAAGTTTTTATTTGTGTAGAAGATAGAAAATAATTAACGAATAAAATTTGTAGTTATTCTTTGTACTAAAATAAGTGTTTTTTTTTTTTCAAAATACTTATTTTAATACATAGAGAAAAATGCTTCATAGTTGTTGTTATTAGTATTTAGATTACAAAAGTCTAATTTATAAAGTTAAATATTAAATCTCAAATATAGTTCTAAGATAGAATAATTAGTTTAGTATGCTGCCAAAAATTATTATATTTCAGTGTAATCATTTTAGACATGTTTTGAAAACAAAATTAAAACAAATTATTTTTGACCAAAATATATCTCTAGTTTGGAACACTATAATATCTATTAATGGAATTAGATATAACAATGTATGGTATATATTCAGAAAGCAATTGGCATTAGTAAATATCTCTCATGCATTGTTGACAATGTTCTTTTGCACAAATGCAATGACTTCTATTCATTGGAAAGCTGCAGATGCTATTTTGTGAAAATCATAAGTTAGCATTTTGCTCCTATGTGTTAAGCGTGTTTAAGACAATTGAATGGCATGTAAATGTGAAATGTGGACTGCAGTTTATTTTCACATGGCTTCATTTTCCTGACATTCAGAAATTTGTTTCCAGACTTGTGAAGTTTATGGTGACAGTATAATGATTGATGTCATGGTTAGGAAATGGATTTGGATGTTCAATACAGGACTAAAGAATATACATGATGAAGTGTGAACTGAGTGATCATCTTTAGTGACAGATGACTTGGTGTATATAAAGTCAACAAAAAGTTCATGAGGACAGATAATTTACAAATTTTTTTCTTCTTTCTGTAGTTTTCTGATATTCCTAGGACTCTGTTATATAACATTGTCAGAAATCATTTGGGTTATTGGAAATTGTGTGTATGTTATGTGCCAAAGATGCTCATTGTGTGTGAAAACTAGATGTGCTGCATGTTTCTTGACATTTTTGATACATTACCATGAAGAAAAAGATAAAATACTGAACCATATTGTGATAGGTGAGACTTTAGTGTTCCATATAACACCTGAATCCAAGCAGCAATCTTTGCACTGTCTTACTGAAAAGCAGAGTTTAAGCAAACAGTTTCATGGAGGATTTCATGCATTATATTTTGGAACAGGTATTTGTTACTGAACGTCATGCCCTGAGGCACAATAATCAACTCTAGTGTTTCTACATTGAAAAAAATTGCACCATAAAATTCTGAACAAAAGGCACAGGATGTTGAGTGCCAGCATTATTTTCCTTCATAACAATTCTAAGTTGCACACTGCTACTTACATTCAAAGCTTCATCACCTCATTTGGATGGAAAATTGGGAAAAATAATGTATAGCAGAATCCTTTAGATACTTGAAGAAATTCTGTGGACTGCATTATTCTTTGCCAAATGGCCATTGAGAGCATTTATGGGGGTCCAGGTTAGCACACTTTCCTTTTTTCTTTTTATGACACTCTTTAGCCATTTTTTTCTTTGAACAAAAGAAATATGTGGAATGTTTCTTTATTATTAATTAGTAGTTAAAGATTTTGTTTTTTGTTAGTAATAATAACATTAATTTTATAGACATAGGAACCATTATGGCTCCTAAGTTTTGTCCATGTTCAGGGAAAAATCCCCAGCCTCCTCTCCTCACTGGCCCTGATGGACTGATGTGATTAATCAAAGGATTCAAATATTTGTTTATATTCTGAAAACCATTTACAAGCACCTCTTTAAAATGCTTTGAGAAAAGTATATTCTTCAGTTCAGTTTTTCATTTTGTAATAGTTTTAGCTTTCACTTCTTATGTAATTCATAATTTGCATCCTAGATTTTTTCTTATATATTTATAGCATTCATATTTGTTTATATTTGCTTGTCTGTCTCTAATTGAATATTTATAAGCATTCTTGACAATGATTTATAATTACTCAAAGACTTGTTATTTAAAGTAAGTCAATTAATGAGAACTTGGTTAATACTCAAGTAAAATAATGACACTAATCCCAATATCTAGCAAAAGAAAAAGAACTTTACTGCAAACAAATGTTTTCATTTAAATAAAATTAATATTAATTAATTTTACTAAAATATTATTTTTCATTTTTATTTTATCTGTGAACTGTATTGTACATATGTAATGTGAATCTTAGAACTGTACATATATAAAATATGTGTGTAAAGATGAATTTGATACAAAATGCTTCAAGAGACTGAAATTAGAAAGTTTGCATAAAGTTTGATTTACAGTTTTCAATAGTTTATAGCTAGAATTATTATTACTATATAGACTATGTACAATGATATACAAAATGCAGTTTGTGTATTAATGTTTTTATGTATTTACAAGCTGAATATAAAGACAAATTATTCATATAATTGAATTTATATGCAGTGAATTAGCTTTCATTGTAATCAGAGTTTTATAACAATTTATTTATTTCTTTTTTTAGACTCTCAAAAACATTAAATATTTATAATTATATAAAAAACTCAAATCAGCAACTTATATCAGTATATCTTTATGGATCAAAATGGATGGAGCAATTACAGAATTGTTTGGCAGTGCTTACTAATTCTGATTTACCAGAGCATATTAATAAAGGTAATAATCATTATTACATTATTTAAGTACTATATATAAATAAATATTAGATAAATAAAACTTTAAATATTTTAAAGTGCTTGTAAATTTATGTCTAATAATGTGATATATTTTTTTTATATATATAGCTAAAGATATGTTAAAAGTTATTGAAATAGATATGAGTAATAAAAAACTTCTGAGTAATCAAAATATGAAGCTCAGTGAAATTTGTTCACAGAATGTTAAAGTTTCTTGTGAAGAGTTGACGTTTCATGTACAATTATCACCAATGATGGATTATATTTATGTCATAGGAAAACAAAAATTGCTGTATCATACATTGTGTGATATTCATATTACAGTTTTACCAGAAAAACTTTTATCTTTGATTAATAACAAATTTAATAAGAATGTTTCAAGATGTAGTGAAGAGTTGCTCTGTAAAATAAACAAAGAAAATATTCTTTATCCCATTGAGTATGTTAATGAATATGGAATTTTTCAAAAAAATGTAAGAATTTTGTAATTGTATATTTATTTGATTATATTTTATGTAAAATAGCTTCATATTAATTTTTTATTTCTTATTATTATATTTTTACATAGAATGCTGTAATATCTTTATTACTAAATTTTTTTACTCATCTTAAATGGAGTCCTACATCAGCTTTCATATCAGAATTTTTAACATGGAATATTTGTGATACAGATTTATTAGAAACACTCATCACTAACAGAACAGAAAATATATCAGTTTGGAAAAAAGAGGTTTGTGTAATTTTTCATATCCTTTTAATTAAATTACAAGTATTACAAGATATTTTTGGATACTTAAAAAAGTGTAAAGAATATATTTATCTAAGTTTGTATTGTATATTTTAGATTTAACTCTTTAATGAAACAAAGTCAAAAGCAGAAAACAAACTGCAATTCAATTCAAATGTTTGCAGGTTTAAAAATTCAGGACAAGTAGAATTAAATTAATCCACTTGCAAATTAAAACCTATTAGATCTAATAGTTTATCTGTCTAAACCATTATGATGGTAATTACTTTAGATTTAATACACATAAATAAGATTTTAGAATATTAAACTAACACATTTTTACAAAATAAAAATAATTATAGTCAAAATAAAAATAGTTTTTCAATTGATTGGCATAGAAATTATATGAATCATCATTACGGTAATAAACTAATACTAACTCTTATCTGATAATTTTAAAATTACTTTGTAATACTTTGTAAACATAAACTAAATTGGGGTAAGTTATGATTATAACATATACTTAAATAATTTGTTTTGTTACACAGGGAACATTTATGCAACCAGTCCGGTTCTTTATCTTTTTGATGTTACAAAATGATTTTGATTCTGTCTCATTTACTGTTAGAAATTATTTTGCAAAATCAGAACAACTAAAAAAGTTAAACAGTCTTCTTTGGAAAAATGCACTTGATTTTTGTCATAATGCACCATCATTTAAGTATGTATTATATTATTGATTGATATATTAAATTTGTAAATTCTTACTATAATAAGAAAACTATTTTATTTTTTACAGATTAGTTAATGCACTTGTAGTAATAGTATGGTTTAATTATATTGCTTGGTGTTTACTCTCTGAAATAAAGAAAGATGTTCAGCATGTCAGTAGTTTGGATGAATTACATTCATTACTTTTAATGATAGATTTTCCATCTGATTTTTATAATATTGTAGAAAAAACAGTATATTCAATAAAAGAGTTATATCAGAGCATAATGGAAGGTGAGCAATGTTGTTTTATCCTTTTTAATATTATAATTGTTATTAATTAATAGATGCATTATGTTTTTCATACATGGAAATATTTTTTAAAAATATGGTATTCATTCAATGTATGATTTAATTCACTTGATAATGTATATAAAATGTTTAAGATTAATATCAATAACAAATTAAATTATGTAAACATATAAAAGATATATAAAAGAAACATACATTTCTCAGTTACATCTATGTCTGCAAAGAAACTATATGTAAAATTACTGTGTAATCATCTAATCTGAGTAAACAAAAAGCTCAAATTATATTATTAATATATATTGAATTGATATCATATTTATGTTGGCTTGATTTTGATCATTTTTAAAAAAGAAATTTTCATTTTCAATAAAATAAAAATTTAATTTATATTATGTAAAATCTTTATTGATATTTTATTAATTAATATGAAATTCCTTTAACACAAATGTTTTTAATTTCAAAAGCAGCATATTTAATTAAAATATAAATTTTAAAAATTATTGAAATTTTCAAGTATTATTTATCCCTTCTTAATTTATTTCATAAATTAGATAAACATTATTTCAAATAACAATAATTTCAATTCTATTTTATCTTTTGTTTTGAAGTTTTTTTTATTCAAACCATAAAAAAAAATAAGTTTTGATAATAAATTACAGGAAAATACTTAAAAGTTAATTACTAAATAATAAGAAAAATAACATTTAGTTATTAAACATAATAAAAAATAAAATTATAATTAAGTTTTTGAAAAACATACATTTATATTTTTTAATCTTTTATTTTATTACAAATTGTGTAATCATCAAAATGTGTTAAATATGTGTTTTTAAATATTTTTATATTTTCTTGAAGGCAACTGAGCAACTGAGAAATAAATTTTGATATAATTTTTTAAATTTATTCATATGATTCTTAAATTTAAAATATATATATATATATATATTTTGAGAATTTAAAAAATTTTTATCCTACAGGAGTGTCAGAATTTTCATTGCAGTGGATATTAGGAAAAGCATCAGCTTATGTTGGTCTTCTCACCTTTCAATTATTTATTCCTAGAGATATTGTTGATCCTATTCAAAAATGGAAAATAAAATTACATTATTTCATTAAGGAAGTAAGCAATAATTTTAATCTTAATTTAACTTAGTTATTTATAACATTAGTGTTTAATTAGCATTGTAATAAGTTATTTGGGTTATAATTGCAAGATTTGTTAAAATCCATGGAAAATTTTTAATGTATCTCTGAATATTGCATAATTTATGTTAAAATTCATTTTGATCAGATGTAAAAATTGACATTACAGATTTTGAAATATATATACAATAGAGCATCAGTTATCCGAATCAATTGGGGACTGGGGTTGTTCGGAAGATCGATACTTCGGATAACCGATTATGTACGGAAAAATATATTAATTTATCCCATCTTGACATTTTTCTCCGTTGCGTGTCGCTTTGCGTTGAATTTTTGTCGATGTTAAGCCTAACGAAGACTATTGTATCGTTAAAAATTATTTTTTTATTTTGTACAAAAAAAATAAATATATTAAAAAATATAAAAACAATAAAAAATTATACTTCAGAAGTTAATTTAGTATCAAAAACGTAAAATATTTGAGTA